ACAATTGGGCTGACATTAAATACAATTTATCTTCCCAGTTCCTCAGGGGCTGGAATGAAAAGGGGGAAAAATACATATAGTTTTAGGTATATGAATAATCATACAACATAGAAAGAAAAGCTTTGGGTGACAAGTGGAATTTGCAGCTGCCAGGGCAGGGTAGCAGATCACAGCTCAGCTGCGCCCATAAGCTTTAAGATGTCCCATTCAGCTTCTCATCCCCGACAAGAGGGTCCAAACCACGCCCAGTGCTCTTGGCTACACACAAGAGGGAAAAATCCACTAGTGTAGTGGCAGGTCTGGCTCTGTGCTGTCATCTGCTTGCTGGCCTAGATGCTCAAGCCAGACCAATGCCTGCACCCAGTGTGCAGGGCATAACAGGTACAGCTAGCTTGGTAAGTAAGTATGGGAGGAAGATTTAAGGGGTGAAAGAGATGACTGTGGGGAAAGAGGGTGATCTTGTCACAATGAAGGTTTGTCTGCACCTCCTGGACAATTCTAGGAAAAGAATAAACTAAACCAAAGGGAATAAAAAACTGGAAGCTCTATTTGTAAGTATGTGAAGATAACCTTACCTTAGAGAGGTAAAGCACAATAAATTTGTGGTAGAAACTTTGTTCTCTAGAAACTGGGGGTGGGCTCGCAATGTACACCTAAGTCTTATTTCTGAGGGAAAAAGTGTTAAGAATGGACTTAATTAAGAGAGGCAATAATATGTTAGCCTTCAGCAGTGAAACCCCCCTCCAAACAGTCTTATTTGTAGCTATGCTTGAAACCATGTAGTCTCTCCTATTAGATATTGCATGTAGCCACCAGGCAAGAATACAGAGATGCACACTGGCATCCTGCATCATGTCTGTGTGACACTGCACAAAGAAGTGCTGTGTATGGTAATATAGTGCTTATATTTGTATATATTACATATGTTCATACGAATTGCTTATATATTGTGTACATATTTGTTATATTGGCAGGTTTATAGTATGGCTTCTTTCAGCAGATGCCAAGCTTTAATTATTTTGTGATTTCAAAAAGCAATCTCTGATGTTTCCTCCAGGAAGACTGCTTAGGGACTATTTAGAAATATAGCAGATGGGATGAGTTTACATCATAGCTGGTCTCTTCTCTTAGGAGAACCCCAAACACAAGTATTTTGGAGCAGTACCCTTAGTGGCTCATGCTGACAGTTCAAGAATTTAGCAAGCACTCAGTCCTACCCAGACCAGGAAAGTGATCCAGGTAAAGGCTGATAGATGCCCATCTTTCTCACTTTTTCCAAAAGTGTCAGATCTCACAGAGACACACACATTGCTCATTCTTCACATGAGAGGTTTGGTCTCCAGAGCCAACTACGTGAGCCTGCATAGACCCATCCCTACCTGCAGCCCCAGCCCCGCAGCTCTAATGGCCACAACAAAATAACAAGGACAAACACCATGGCTGGCTTTTTAGATGGCCTTGTGCTTGACAGGAGGCACTACAGCTACAAGAAAGGGTTTGGTTGCTGAATAAAGCAATATGACACTTATATTTTAGAAAGTCTTCATCAGCAGGGCAACAAAGCCAGCCTGTGCAGCAGGGAGAGACTGGGGAACAGCTCACAACTGATGGGCTGCGAGTCTGGCTTCATGAGCCTGGTGGCTGTGCTCAGCCTAAGATGAGAGACGGCTTGGTTGCAAGCATCACTGCAAATGAGAACTTGAGAGTGCTATCATTCTCTTGCATTACTTCATAAGCAAGACTGCTGTTAACACTTCTTCCCTCAGAGGTAAAAAAATAATAATACAATAAAAACCAGTGTTATTGCTTTAAATGAATGCAGAACTACTAACCACATCCAGACAGTAACAACGTGCAAATCGAAATGATACTGAAATGCAGGAATTTGTCATCCAACATCAATTCATACAGGAACCTTAGCTTTTAATTTCTACACTAAAGGGCATGGGCATTAATGACCAGTATCATCAGGTTTAAAAGCCTAAAACAAGCAATTAAAAAAAAAAAAAAAAAGACTCAAATAACATAATCCAGTTACTTTGGAGGAAAAAAAAAAAGTACATCAATCTGTCTTCCTACATAAAATTAATATCTCTGTGCACTGTTGCACTCTAGGAGAGATGACTGCATAGTCCTGAAGACATTGCTGCAATGAGTGGAAAGGTCTTCTTCCATTTCAAGATATATTAATATTAGCACATTCTGCTATTATTAATAGGGTGGTACAGGAATCTTGTGTTAAAAAAGATGGCATTAACATTAAAAACATTCAGTAGGTGAAAAATTAATTTCCACCTTCATCCTGTACTCATCTACTCCATAGTCTTATTTAACTTTGGTAAGGACTCCAGCAGCTTGGGAATGAGAGCTCTATCTTTTAAAATAAATCATCATCATCATCATCATAATGCCACAGCCCCATGCATAAAAGATGCTGAGCATCCCGGATAAGAAAGAAGTAAATGAAATACTGCTGACAGCAGTCTGAATAGAGGCAGCTTCACATACCTTGTGTAATCCCTAATGTGACTAAGATTTAAGATGATTTGTGAACATCCACATCAATGCTTAACTGCAAACTGTAGCACCAGTTGCATGAATAAACTGTCATGCAACTGAATCTTCAAAGTTTTTGAAAGGATTTCCTCCCACCTCAAAGCAATTCTCCAGACATTATATGGCCATTAAATACTTCTAGATCAAAATTTTTCTGAGTGTTGCTAAGTGCAAAGGCATCACAAAGCTCTCTTGGGACTCCCCTTTGCAGTAACATTTAAATAGGTATTTTTCCTGTCACTGGTATGTCTACAGCATTAGCATTGTCATCTGGATTTGGAGTGCGGGACTGAGGGCAATTTCACAAGGACTTTCATAGAATCACAGAAAGATTTAGGTTGGAAGAGACCTTAAAGAGCACCTAATTCCAACCTCCCAGCTCTGGGTACAGTCTAGATCATTAGTATGATGGTCTAGACTGTCTTATTAAACTGATTAGCGTCATGGAGAGGTTCTGTAGCACATGAACTAAACCTATTTTGTATGAAATTAATGCAGTGAGTGCACTGCAGGTGTACATTTAATGTGCTATAACCACTTAAAGGCATTCAGTCCGTGTGACCAGATTTCTTTTGCCTTCAGCCCTTTTCCATCTGGGGAGGAGGTGTGACATAGCCAAGCATGGAGAAGTACAGAAGATCCTCAGGACCAGCCTACAACTAGATACTGTAGGACTCCCAAACCACACACAATGTCTACGATGGATCCTCTGTACTGACTCCTTTGTCCCACTGATGTGTCCTTACTGCCCCATCCCATCCACAGGTGTGGACAGGCAACACTGGAAGTCTTCAGCCATTATTTAAAAGCATTGTCTTCTTAGAGGTTGAAATGATGGTCCAGCTCCACCCTTCAACCTCTTCATATCTTCAGTTTTTGGCTTCTTGCTGCTTTCATCCCCACTGCACCTATTTTCTCTCCTGGATTCCTGCACGGGGTGTTACAGATCACCAACACCCTGATGGGAGAGTGCAATGGAAGATATGGAGGTACAGCTTGCTGTCCCTGAAGGAGAGTCCCACGGTGCCCCTTCATAGTGCTGTATGCTCCCAAGGGAAAGCACTCCCCAGCTTCCACTTAAGTCTGGGCTTGCTTTATTTTGGTGTGAGTTCAAGCTCAGGACCTAAATCTTTCTTGCTCGTCTTATTAAACTCTGGAGAGCAGAGATACGTGGGTGTTAAAACATGTGCCTTCATCAGTAACACAGAGAGGGCTTTAAATGCTTTGCTAACACCTCAGCCTACAAAGCTGTTGGCCTCAGAACTCAATCCATTTGCTCTCCCAACAACCAGCAAAACTACTCTCTGGGTTGTAATACATCAATAAATCACATTCAGAAGTTTTAGGGCAAGTTAGATTCCCTGAGAAACATGACTTCTAAAAGGGAAGAAAATTATTTTCAAGCTTTCGTGGCTGAAATACCTCATGGCAACATTAGAGCTACAACAAATTCCTCTGTAGGAGGAAAGATTTCAGGCAAAAATTAGAGAAGGGATTTGATTTATAATGGAAAATAAGTTAAAAGTAACGGGCCAAGTTTTGCTTACACTGAATAATACTTAGCACCTACATAGGAAAATTCCCACTGACTGCAGTCAGAGTAGATCTGAGGCTTTAAACATGCTGTCTCCACTTCTGCTCCAGAATAAGAGTGCTAGAAATTAGGTGTCAGACTGGGACATGCCCTTCCGATGAGAAAGGGAAGAAATGGTACACACGGAGAGCCCTACCTTCCTCCAGGGGTATAAAGACAGGCTGGCTTCAGCTCTCAAGGGGAAAACTATCTTTAATTGCTCATTAAACCAGTCATTAAACACCTCCAGGAAAAGGGTGAGCAGCATTAGCTGTGGTGGTGCCCAGGTCCACGTTGGAGCTTGCAGCTAAAATAAGGAGCGTGGGGAAAGGACCTGCCTCAGCCGCCGGAGACTGAGTGCTTCAAGGCTGCTGGGTTTAAGCCAAACCAGCTAGGAAACAGGCAAAACGTGCACTTTACTGCTGGTGGAGACAGCAGGTGACTGCCTGCCTTCTGCTGTCAGCCACGTTATGGAGGCAGCTGTGTCCTCCTCCCGCCCGTGGCAGGGAAAGGAAGAGGAGCCGGGCTTCAGGGCCGGAGGTCACAGCCCCGCTCTGGGTGAACAAGGCCTAAAGGGAGCGAGGCTGTCTGAGCAGCTTCCAGCCCAGCTTTATTGCCTGCCGCCGTATCTCTTCTCCAGGTCGCAAAGCAACGTCAACGTAACGTGTGCTCCGAGAGCAAAGCTGCCATTTGCGGCCTCGGCGGCCAGGAAAGCAGACAAACCTGAGCATCTGCGTTTGCAATCTCCACTGCTCCATAAAAGACAAGGTCAGACAGAAAAACATGTGTTTCGTATTTGCAAATCTGAATGATTTATATTAGGGGAGCAGGGCTGGACCGTGTGCAGCCTCTAGGTTGTTAAAATTTAATTTACTAATCAATTACTATCAGATGCTAGACTTCTTCAGCTGCCCCATATGTGAGGAGCACAGTTTCTCACAATACCCTGTCTTGATTTCAGTGCTGTATCTCTTTCCAGGGGCTGAGGAGAGGCAAGGTAAAGCAGGTAAGGAAAATATTTATTTATTTTTTTTTTTTTCAGATCAAGCAACCACTCAGCCCCACAATATAATCTTGTTTATTTATTTATTTATCTTTTAAGTAAGAAAAGCCACCAGAGAATTATCGGACCTTTTCTGTTAGCCATTCAGCTCAAAGAGAAGATGCTGACCTCCTGCCATTATTTGTACAAGGCAGCTTTACCTGAGGAAGCAGATGCATTAAGATGAACGGGAGTTTCCTCACCTCAGGGGAGCAAGTCTGGAGCAGGCATTGTGTCTCCAGCTGTATTGCCTTCATTTTGTTTGCATTGCTTCTCAGTTGTTAGTCCCAGTTTAAAACTTTTAAAGCATTATAAAGGTACACCTCTCACCACCTGAAAATAAGTGAACTAAGATGAAAAGTAAAGATAGAAGAAAGGGATTCTTGCTGATAAACATCCTTCCGAGTATGTGGGTTATCAGCTGTAGGTTGGATCTCCCAGGCTATACAGATCTTGGCTGCAGGCTTGGAGTTAATTCTGACCTTGGACAGGGTGTGTGTGGATCTTTTTAACTCTTAACAAAAAAGCATACTGAAAATGCAGGATTCAGATGGCTTACATTAACCAGAGACTCTCAAACACAAACCCAAAGCAGCAGCAGGAACATCACATCTCTCACAGATCACAATCTCATCCTTATACACATGGCAACTCCCACACAGTCCTAAGAGAGCCTGAGGGTGTCTCCCAACTTCAGGAACACAGACACCATCTCTATCCTTAAAGCTGGCTTAAAGAAACCCTAAGAGTCTGCAAGATTTCTGTGGACACAAGCAGATGACAACTGAATGGCCCTGCCCTCTCTCTCTTACAGACTTTTTGTATCAGAAACATTGCACTAAGGCAGAAATCTCATAGTTTAGAATTAGGAGAATGCAGAGCTGTTATTATGCTGCCTTATGCCATCCATATGCATCCTCTTCCTTGAATGTACTTACCCCTCCCAAAGGGACAAGACAATATTGTCCTTTCTCAGTGACACCTTGCATATCCAGCTTGGTACTGTTGATGGGAGGCCTGAGTGAGTACTGAAACTCATTACAAAGGACACAATTATCTCAGCACACTTTTGCAGAGCATGTTCTTCATTTACAAGCCAGAGAAACAAGATGGTTTTCAGACTCCCAGCTCCAGTTCACGAAACAACTCCAGTTACATCCAGTTCAGGATACAAACATCAACACTAGCATTGGTTGAACAATTTTTTGAATGTCCTCTGTTAAATTTAGATCCTTTCTTGGTTAGTAAGTCATGCGTTAAATGATCCTGGCTTCCTTTTAACGTGGTAATCTGAGACCAATAACATTTTGAAATTATGGGTGAATTGCCAGCTCTTCTCTCCAACTCTTTGCTATCTGCATTTTGGGTGACAGGTTCCCTAAGAATAGGTTAATGTTACTACCCTTGGAATAGAAGAGGGAAATATTTCAAACTGGGGAATAATCAATCCAGTCCAAACTTTCAGATGGAGAATCATTCACATTAAGATTCATGAAACTCTTAGAATTCATTATTTTTTTCCAACAAATACCCAGCAGGTCACAGGCAGTTGGACAACTAACTCCACCATGGTAATTTACGAGACTGTCTCATAAATTATAGAACTACAGATTTCTTTTTTCCTTTTTTCTTTTTTTTTTTTTTGTGGGTGGGGGGGAGGATCTGGAGAGAGAATAGGGGTGGTGGGGTGTGGTGAGGCAAGAAAAGGCGAAGAAGGGGAAGGAAGCCAAAGAAGTGAGACTCCAGGCCTTGAGAGTATTTTAATGCCATCAATTACCTAAAAACTGAGTGTAATAGATAGTATATCAGATTGTGCTAAAGCTTCCAATGCATAATGTTCTGGGTTGTGTTTTTTGTTTGTTTGTTTGTTTTCCTATTTCTGAATGCTAACACTTCAGATACATTTATACCTTTCCAGGACACCTCATTCAGCCCCAGTTTCACTAAATGCAGAAGACAAATAACTGTTGACCTGATGTTACCCACGCACAAAAACTGGAAAACTCGAGCGATATTGCTGTCTAGCAGATTTATTCCTACCTGGCACTACTGCTTAGAAAATGCCTAATTAACAGACAGTTAAACCAGCAGAGTGAAACATGGCAATTTGTGTGTAACAAGCACACAAACAGCAAGCCAAGGTAGGGCTGCTGGGTGTAGCAGGGCCACGACTGCAATAACTGACTATAAATGCTCTTGATGGAAGAGGACAGCAGACAAGAAGCTTTTAAGCCAAGGCAAAGAACAGAACCAGAAGCAAAGACTGCAGGCTAATCAGCCCAGCAATTAGTCTAAGTAGCATCAAATCTCTATTTGAAATCCCTCCTGTAGTACCACTTGGAGACCACTATTTTCCACTTTCTGGCACTGTGGGGTTTCTGCATGCTATTATGTTGTCTGTGCCTCCAACTCTGGAAATGGCTGCATTTCAGTAACAACTCAAACACCCCCAAGTGTCATTTAAGAAGCTTGAAGACCATTTGCCTGAAATGAAAAGGCCTTGACAAACAGTAGATGTTGCTTTGACCTCCAACCCATCCTTGGCCACACAACCTCCCAGTCCACTTTTCTCTTCTCTGTAACACCCAGCAGCAGGATCCAGCACTTAATACCCTGACAGAAGAAGAAAGCAGAAATCTTTCCCCCAGGAGTGGGGTCTGTGCCTGGTAAATACATAGAGGAGTCTCAGTCAGGCCCTTGCCTGCCATGGAAGCCTGTCTGGGAGAAAGGGGTGAAAGCCAGAACCTTGAAATCCTTTCACTGCAGGAATTTTGGCCTGTGGGTACAGTTGGCTGCCTCGAGGCAGTGCACCTTGCACACAGCTGAGGATCAGCTGCATAATGTCTGTAGGCGAGTACATGAAGCAGGGAGAGAGGGAGAGTTTACTGCTTTAGCTTGACACACACTTGGAGAACTGCAGATTCCAACTTATCTCCCACTTTGAACCCCAGGGACTTTCAATTCCTGACCCAGAACCAGACTTCAGGATTTGCTCCCAGCTCTGTGATCTCAACATTAATTTGGCTACAGGAACATCCATAATTACAAAATGCAAAAATTACATCATTGATAAAATACAAAATTGCAGTTTTCCTTATATTAGCTATTCTCTGTCCTTTTTCTGAAAGTGATTTTTTGAGTTACGTGCAGGCAGATCTGTGCACACACTACCACAGAATTTCATTCACTCCTGACAGTAAAAAGTCCCAGCCTTTGATCCTTTGTTGCTTCTAACCTCAGCACAGTTGGGATGTGCAGCTTCCAGACCTTTCAGCCAACCTCTCCTGCCTGCCACCAAGACCTTTGTACGAAAGAACTCAGTGAGCAGAAACAAGATCCTAATCAAGTATGTATCATCCTAGACTTCTGCGGGGAAGAATTTGATCACAGCCTGGTTGTGAGAGGTTGCCAAAGGCCCACAGGCTGCCAGTGGTTCATCCAAGAAAGTTTGGAAGGCTTCGAGAGACATGAAGTATCACAGTCTGGCTCAAAGAGTTGATATGTAATGTGGCATCCCTAAAACAAAATGAAGCATAGGAGTGAATGCAATTTAGAGATTGATGGGCTGAACAAAAAAAATACACCCCAGCTGCCTTGGAGTAACTCAAATCTTCATCTGAGGAGTAAGTGGCTGCCAGGGATTTTCAACAATTTACTTAGACATCAGGAACATCATCATCTTTAAATACTAGTTAGACATGATGTTTAGGAAAATTGGGAAGAGAGCCAAAGGCACAAGTAACTACACTGAAATAACTTAGAAGACTAGCAAGAAATGTAGCATTTGTATTTTAAGCAATTAATTCACATTTATCCCTACCGTCTCAAAATGCTATACTTACAGCATGTGCTGTATTAGTGAACCATATCACAGTTAATTCAAAGGATTATGAATTCCTCAGTCAAAGAAAAAGAGTTCAATGAGGTATGAGAGCCCTTAAAATTCTGCCTCAGCGTGGAAAGTTACTGCAGAACAGTTTGTATATTTTAAGTTCAAACCTTCATTTAATCTACCACAAGTCCCAAGATGGACGTGGTTTAAATCTAATGATTATATATCTCATTCACCTACTATTTGTATTTGGTCAAGAGCAAAAAACAAAAACAGGAACAAAATGCCAGCCTGGTTGTCACCAAAATGCAGCACATCCTGGAGGGCTGACAGAGACCAGTAGCTTTCTGTCAGCTCCAGCCCTATAACAGTATATTCATTTTATTACTTGTTTTTCTCCAATGAGCACAAACCAAGCCAAGAAACAAGAAAAAAAATGTACTTAAAAGGGTGAAGTTTTACTGGAATATCTCACCAAAGGAATGGCTTATTTTTCCCTCAAGGTAAACGGAAAAAATGGAAAACATCAAAGACTTCAAAAAATATTCGTGCTACAGCAACAAAGACAAAATGCATACACCTATAGAATGAAGAAGGGAAACCACAAGCAGACAGCAAGCAGAATCACCCTTTATTACATTCTCCATTGGTTTGCTCTACTTCTGGATAACCCACTTCATACTGTATGAAGAAACATATTAGATCAAAGTGGTATAAATTTGACAGTAACTGAAGGGACACCATAAAGAAGTAATTTCCCCTAATGCATTGCAGAAGAATTGTCAGTGAATAATGAAATGCCTTTAAATCTCTAACAAGAACAGCAGCTTGAGGGATTTATCCAAGCCATCAAATGCACAATTCACATTATGGTTCCCTCCAGCAACTCTCTTATTTGTCAAACTGCACATTATGTCTCCAGTTGTTCCTCTGCTTTTCTTCATACTTATCATAAGAGAGCAAGAGTACTCCAAGCACTGGGCTGGAAACCTTCTTGGTGCCTTCTTTCCGCGTCCACTCCTTTCCAGATTACACACTGCCTCCTTGTCTCTTTCTATGCTTCAGTCAGATTGAATCTATTAATTAGCATTTCCCATCCTCTAATCAGTAAAGATCAGAGCACAGAACAATAGCTGTGTGTAAAAGCAGACCGTATTTTTGTTAAAGTGATACAAGACTACATACAGTGGTCAGAATTATTCATGATGTAATCTGCTATAAGAAAAACTCAATAGGCATAGGCTTTTCTCCCGATGGATGATGCACCAATTAAGAAACTATTATATTCTGCTTTATTGACCATCCAAAAAGGTAATACAAAAAGCTGTGAGCAACATGTTATAATCAAGGAAGTGGAACAAGGGTGCAAAGAGAAAGAAAAAAAAAAAAAATCATGCAATCAACCTGCCTTCTTCACATTTAAAAATTCCTCTTGTTGTTCTTTTGTTCATCTTTAAAGTAGTCCTGAAAGGCCCTGAAAAAAAAAAAAAAAAAGGAAAAAAAAAAACTGAATTCCTCTTTCCTCTCCAATTTACAACAAACTAGCTGTTTTAGGTTCAGTAGAGTGATCACAGATGTTTCTCCACACCTCTCTCATACAGAAGTGATAGACAAACTCATCCTTGAAGCAGAAATACCTTTCTGTCAGGGTTTAAGTAATTAATGCATACCCCAACTTCTGAAGCTTCAAGTTGTATCATTACTGCATTTCAGTCTCCAGTCTTGTGAGTGAACACTACTTCAAAAACATTAGTTTCCTGTTAGATATCCCTGATCATCTAATACAAAAAAATATCGTGCCATAAATGTAGGTGGAGATATGTAGATAGCATACGTATGCATTCAGGCTACTTTGTGCATTTGCTAACTTGGCTGCACATCATTAATATCAGGTTCTGTTTGGCTGCACTAAGCCAACCATGAGGCATTCACTCCTGGTCCAACATCATCATAGCATCTCCAGGCAAATATGGGTGACAAAATCACACAAACATGGAGCCATTTGACAGCCTATCCATCAAAGGATGGATAACATACCCCAAGACAAACAAGCGACAAGCATGCACAGGCATGTGCACACTCTCTTTCTTGAGTTCCCTCCTGCCGCCATCTCAACCACAAGATTTTTTATTATTTTTTTTGCTTCCTAATTGCTGCATAATAGCAGATACAGAAAGACAGCTATCTCAGTTTCAGATAGCATACTAACATGCATGTTCAGTGAGGGAAATGAAACCCTATATTGGGGAATGTTAAGATCTAAGGGGATCTAAGCTTTCTACATACAACGCATCTGTCTGAATCAATGGAAGAAAAAGGTGCTTTCTTTTCTTTTCCAGTTTTCTTTAATGGCAGGGTTTGTCACCAAACTTGTGTCTTGCATCAGGAATAGTCTGATGTATTTCAAAGTGGGGAATTCTTCATTGGCGTTTCAAAGAAAAGCAGCTCTCAGGAATTCCCACAATACACAACATCTGGTAAGTTTGAAGGGATAAACATTAAGACTGCTGAAATACCAGAAGAATATCCCACTTTAAGGTGAAGTTTTAACTATACCGGTATTTCTGCATCTCTGTTATCAAAGCTTGAAAATACTTTGCTTGGACTCATTGCTACACAGCTGCCTTACCAGCTCTAACCACTCGCTCCTTACACACCAGCCTGTACTCGGGGCTCCTGCACAGCTGAGCAGCTCCTCATTCCTCCTCCAGCTATTCAGCTTGGAAACTCATACATTTACACAAGACGGGTGCCAGAAAATTACTGGATGGTGGTCAGTTAAATAAAACATTTGGCACCAGTAAGACACACGGGGTACCACAGGTCTTTACACTTCATGAATTCTCTCCTATATTATTACTAACACAATTACTCCAGGACAGTTGTTGAGCAGTGCAGCAGAGAAAGCACTGGCTAGAAACTTGTCAGTTGCACACACATAAAAATGTAAAAAATTAAAAAATATCCCCGTCTCCTGCTGTAAGGTTTTTACCTTTAATTCCTGAACTTCAGAGAGTGAGTGACAGGAAAAGGACACAAATCCCAGAACGTGTCTGTTTCCCTGCTGCCTCACACCACACATGGCAGCAGAACTTCTTCCCAGTGTGAACAGAGCAGTCACACTAGTCCCATCCCTTCCTCCCCACCCCTGCAAATAAATCAGAAAGTGGCACTTTTTTGAAGCTTAGTCCTTTTGGCAAATTACAGCAGGATTCCTCTCTCCCATCAGCCAACGTGCTGCTTCATTATGACTGACATCCTTCACTTTGCCTATTTTCAGTCAGCTTTTCTCACCTCAACTTGTTGCTTGCTGTCCCTAACACTGAACTTTGTATAAATTTGCAGCTGCAAGGAGAGCTCAAAATCTCCATTAACAAGTCATAACACGCAGTGGCTCCTGCTTTATGTACTCTTCTCCCACCTGCTCTCTGTGACCTGATTTCTCAGAGCCATGCTCAGAGAAAGGGAGAGAAAAGACGCATCCATCACACCTGTGATTTGAACCTCATGAAGGGCCCATTTATCATGGTATAAATCACAGGCAAAAATAAATGCATTTATCTAAGCTTCAAGGAGGCAAAAGCAGCGTGACAGCAAGGCTGTACATGGTGCTTGTCCCATGTACACCAGCAACCATCATATCATGAAGGATTTTTACCCCCAGCCTGAGGGCAGAGAAGCGTGGCACCAACTGTGCAGCCTCAGACGTCCAGGCAGGCGTTGCAAGGGGTGAGAAGCAGCAGTGTGTGGCGGTGGTTTCTAACCAAATCAATACTCCACCCCCAAGTACTTTAATGTTAAAACTATCCTAGACGATTTCTAGCTGCAAAAGAGAACTCTTTGCCTGCTCTGCAGCACCATCTAGCGCTAACGAATAAGAATCACAGAATTACAGGATTTCAAGGTTGGAAGAGACCTCAAGATCATCGAGTCCAACCTCTGACCTAATGCTAACAGTCCCCACTAAACCATATCCCTAAGCTCTACATCTAAACGTCTTTTAAAGACTTCCAGGGATGGTGACTCCACCACTTCCCTGGGCAGCCTGTTCCAATGCCTCACAACCCTTTCAGTAAAGAAATTCTTCCTAACATCCAACCTAAAACTCCCCTGGTGCAACTTTAGCCCATTCCCCCTCGTCCTGTCACCAGGCACGTGGGAGAACAGGCCAACCCCCACCTCACTACAGCCTCCTTTAAGGTACCTGTAGAGAGCGATAAGGTCGCCCCTGAGCCTCCTCTTCTCCAGGCTGAACAAGCCCAGCTCCCTCAGCTGCTCCTCGAAATACCAACGCTTTGGGGAAAAATAGCCCACTCCGGGTTATGCCTAGTTTAGCAATAAAGCAAAATACAAGTGCATAAATACATATCTAAAACATGCAAGGGAAGTCATGGTAACCAATTTATATTTTACAGATGCTAGGATCTACTTTTTTCGCCCCAGTATCCAAACATTTCTGTCGAGTATCCCTAAGGGGTTGCAACGTCATACTGTACCTACCCATCAGTACCCCTTCCAATGTGCATGAGTAATGAGCAGCCATGCTCATTACTGCTATCCTCATTAGTCTCAGCAGATGAGCACCAACAGCCATCTTTTCTTTCAATGTCCATGCAGACTTACACCTGCTTCGCACTGCTGTCCCAAGCTGGCAGCCACACTGCTGCATCACTGGAAATCAAGGATGAAACAAAGACTTGCGTACTTTTTGGAAGGTCTCTGACAGGTACTGGGTGACAGAGACAGGAAAAACGAGCCCAACACCTGGTGAGGCTGGCCTCTGAAGACCATCAGCTTACAGCTTGATATTCCTGCTCAGCCTCTACTAAAATTACCACAGATCCTATGTGGTTCCCTTCTGCTCTGGAAAGCTTTATCTACTTGCTCCAATTTTGTTACCAGCACTAGTTGGCTTTTTTGAGGGGGCAGGAGTCCCTTCTATTTCCTACTTTCAGGAAACTTTTCTAATCATGATAAAGTTAGATGATTAAATGTTTTAATGTCTTTTTTTTTTTTTTTTGGTTTCCATGTGTGGTGTTTTTTTTTCTTTTTTCTTTTTCTCCCCAAGAAAGGCTTAGTTCTTACTATCTTTACAGCTCTTTATTCACAGCACCCAAGGAATGATTCACATCATGCTGGAGAACTTCAGTGCCAGAGATTCTTCAGCCTTCAAGTATTCCAGCAGCTTTGACTTGAATGCAGTAGAAAAAGTGATTTGTCAGTAATGATGAAGTCTCTTAAGAGTTACAGAGCCCACATCGTTAAACTGTGTCAAGATCTGTGCTTTGTTGTCATTTCATATTAAAAAGGGCTCAGGAAGACATTCTCCCACACAATTTTCAGGTTAACCTCATGCTTCTGGTAGTACTGTGCTACCTTCTTCATTTATTTGTACAAGAAACACACCTTCACATTGCATAGATGCAGTGCTACCCATTCTTCACAAGAACACACCACAACATTTTGTTGAAAAATATATGCCTTACCCACTTGCTACAGTGATAATGATCACTTACTCATCCAGGTTTCAGGGTCTGCCACTTTGCAATAACTGCTGTTGCAAAGGAATCCCACCAACAAATTCCCATTTTCCAAAAACCTCAATAGAAACAGCTTACCTACACAGATTTCTTTTTATTTTTGTCACAGACACTCATGCATCCAGCTTACATGAATTATTTATGAGCACTCTGATGTAGCTAATGTTAACTGACACACCACTGATAGGAACTGTTTCACTTTCCCTCCGCTATTTATTTCCTGCAGAGCTAACAATAGCTCAAACACTAACACAGACCACGATGCACAGACTGCATTGACACTAATCTAAATACTACCTAACTACCATAAACAGGAAAAAATTACAAACTACACTTGAGAAGAAAAAACTCCAAGTATCCATAGAATTGCTTAAATATCCAACAGTGACACTTCAACATACAACTAAAATGCCATAGGTAAAGAATGAATCATTCTAAAACCAAACTAACCTTACCTTCCCATTTACCACACTTCCAAGTCTTGGTTTTAAACCAGCAAAAATCTGGGACTTAAATAGCCATTTATGTCACTTCTATGTGCTCTTCTTACACCTTTCCAAAACAGTTCTTTGTTGAAAATTAACGTTCAAGTTATTGTGGCCAGGATATCCTCCACATTTAATTGACCCTGTCATTTTGGTCCAGGCACCTCTTTTAGCCTCTCAGAGTCCTGAGGCACACGTAATACCTCAGTTACAGTTAATATCAATACTCAAGCACAGTTTGATGCAGGGACTTTTTTCATGTCTGCGCTGCTTCCATCAATGTTCCCCGTCCTTTCTGGATTTCAGAATACTCAGGTAAATCTTGAAGCACATTGATGTATTCTTCCAGAAGACTTCAAGAGTTTGCTATACATTCAACCAGCCCAAATGTGGAGACAAGTGCTTTATCTCTGAAGATCTAATGATCTGCATGTCCTCCCCCATCACTACAAAGACAATCATTTTGCTAAACCATTAATTACTATGCCTAGCTAAAAGTAAGTCTGAGAACTTGGGAGTATTACTTCTCTCTCTCTCTTTGTTAAAGATGACAAATTCCAGTCTGACGATCGCCCACTATAACAATGTTTTCTGAATACAAACCTTTAGGAAGTGAAGTGCCATCAACCAAGATGCTACATATCAGCACAGAGGCGAAACACATACGTAATTTTTATTCTGAGTGGACAGAAATGCCTAATAAATGTCATTTCCTTGATAATGAAAGCCAGCAGAAAGGTACCAAAAGGTCAGTTAGAGAAACAAATAAAATTTTACAATAAAATAAAATAGAGAAACATATAAAATTAAATGGATGGTAAGGAAATGCCGAATGAACATGCTGCAAAGACTGGGCACCACTGACTTGCAATACCCAAAGCCAAGCCAGCAAGTTCCCAAGACTTAGGTCCTTGATCACATAATATACCCGCAATGCCTGGCAAACAGAATCAGACAAATGATCACATGAAATCTGTTTGGGATTACAAAAGAAAACACATTAATTCTCAAATGGCAGTGCTAAGTAGGACCTGATCAACAACAGGGAAAGCTAGCACAAGTGTGTTAGTTTCAAGTTTTATTTTTCATGTTGGTGAAACACAGCCTCTTCTCAGAGGCAGCATCTGTAGAGCTGTTACAAACACACTTCATAATCTAATACATCACAGATTTGGGAAAGGAACAAATAAAGCACAGATTTCACACTGCACTTGGGCATACTCAGTCTTAAGTTACAGATAATTTAGAAATCATCTAATTTCATATACATTACACTGATCATTGCTCAGTCTTCATGCAAGTTTAATTTTCTTACAGCCAGCATTAGTTTTGGAAACTTCCTTGCTGAAAATGGTGTATTTTTCACTTTAAATCACTTAAATTATATTTACAGAAGTGTGCAAATTGCTTTGAAAGATAGAAACAAACACTTATACATAACATACAGACAGCATCTTCTATAGTTAAACATTTGCTAAAAGGCAGATAACATTCCTATCACACTTTCATTGCCTAAAATAGGAGAATAAGTTATATAAAATAGACCATCTTATTTTCATACACTTCCATTTCTGCAGATTTGGTCTTTACAGCAACATTGCAATCAAAGATTAAGATTCTGTTCCTAAGATTCAGAGAAACCCCTTTAAATTCAATGGCAGCTTAACGTGTTTAGCATGAGTTACTTTTGCCCCCACATTTTCCATACTTGGCACAAGGTAAAAAGAAAAAAAGCTGAAGGAGTGGGTAAGAGACAGCCTTGCATATTTTTTTTTTCCCAACACAAAAAGCATCCTAATGAACCAATTTTATCAAGTTCTTTCCTGCTTGCATGTCTTCTTCTCAGTATATACTGTTTGCACACACGAAGTAGTAAACTCCTTGGGACTATTCACCAAAAGTAATTTCAGAAATGGAAGCAGGGAAAATTACTTAGTGTTCCCAGTGCTTCTTAATGTGCTTGAAAAATAATAATAAAAACTCCCCGTAAAAAAGTGCGTGGTGACCTTCATGAACAAATCCAGAAGGCAGAAAGTTGAACACCTCACCTCAGTTTCCTCAGTGGTGAAGAAAGAAGAGTTACAGGAAGGTCTTCAAGAAACATCTTTCATGTATATTAGTAATCATTCTGAGAGAAAAGCAACTCACTTCCTAAAATTTCATTTAGGCTATTTTTTTTTTAGAAGTACAAAAACTTTTACGTACATCCTTAATAACAGAGGGAAATTATCTATCAGACAATACAGAACAACAGGTTTAAACAGCTTTAAAAAGCTCTCAAACAGCTTTGAAATCAGAGATTATTACATAATAAAAAGAAAAAAAACTTTTTCTGAACATCTATTAAATTGAATAACATGACTTTTACAGCAGTCCTGCCTACAATCGTGGTGTATTTTGTGCACCCATTGCTATGCTACTCAGTGCTATCCACCCCAAGAATAGTGAACATTAGCCCTCAAAGTCTACCTTAATCACAATTACATCTGACACACTTGGTATTCTTGAAGCCATTCAATTCCTTAATGTGGCAGAAACTGTATTGACACTTAACACTATGCTTTTGGTCTACTGCTTATTGAACTTTGGACATCACTTTAGTGCAGATCTTGATTAGGGTCTGAAAAAACAGACCACAGATTCGTCTTCTAGGGTTGTCAACTTTTAAGCATAGAATGGTCACATTAATTTAGACACTAAAGAAGCTTGTGAAAGACATGACAACTTGTAATCAAATAGAAGTGGAGAAGATGCTTTAAAATTTGGTTATTTTGGATTTGAGCTAGTTTGAAAAATGCCATTTGTAAGAGATAGCTGTTCTATGCTTTGAAAATACAAAAGAAATGAAACGTCTTTGCAGAATAGAGTATTGAAACATTCCACCTAAGTTTTGCTAAACACTGTCTCCTGAACTTTATATTTAACACACATTAACTGCTACCTTCATTTTTGTTTTTAATTATGGCATGCATGGAAACAGTGGCATATTTCCATTATGGCATATGGAAACAGTGCTAGAAAGGTTGTCCACTCCTTCCATTCCCAAGGTATGCATTCAATGGTATGCATACAAACACTATGCACTCACATATTTCAAAAGATTTCAGGTCAATATAAGATGAAAGATGTGCATATCTATGTCTTTAACCTTGCAAAACTTCTCCACAGTAGCTGGCTTAGTGTTTTCTACAACCACATGGATATTCCTTGCAAAGAGTAAGATACCAAAATAATATTCCACAGTGAGGTTAAAAACATGTTAAAATAAACTGAATGTTCCCCCTTGTGATTACTCTAGTGGAAAATCCCTCCGTGCCATGGTGTCCCTTAAACAATGTTAAACAGGAGATGAACATCCAGACGATGTTCATTTAATGACCTTAACATTTAACTCAGTAACAATCACAAACATATTATTGGGGACAAAAAAGTGTCAGGTACTGAAATCCAGCATTTCAAATTTTGTGCCGCTCTCCCTAACCCCAGTGCCTCTCTTCAGAGTTTTGGTTTCGTTTTAAGCTGTGCTTTTAGTAAAAACTTCCCTCGTTTTTTTTCCCCATAAACTGCAGGCAGGGCCCTGAAGAAGCTCCTACGAGGTAAGAAATGAAATCCAAAGGTGTTTCAAGATGAAAGGTACAATCATGCTCTTTCTCCTTTTTTTTTGTACCCAAAAGCTGCCAAGCTAGTATTAGCATTCCCGTATCACAATTGCAATGAAGCTCTGGTAAATCTGGTACCTTTGGATATGCTCAACATCACAAACAAGTTAGATATTTAAGATAACATATATCTGCAGCTAGCACAGTCCACCAGAATATTCATCCTCTTCCTCATCAGCATGAGAGCCCACCGTGGCTGGTCCTCTTGTTTTGTCTTGTGCAGTGTTTGGAGATTTCTTCTTGATCCCACCTCCTGGGACCACCAAGGTAAGACCAAGCTTGGCATACTGATAAGAAAAAAGAAAAAGGTAAGTTTACTTTCTTTACTATCACAAAATAGTCTTGTTAAATTACACTGCACAGAATTGACTATATCAATAATGTGTATTATACAATAATTTTGCCAAATGATTATATAATCATCATAGAATGGTTTGGGTTGGGAAGGGACCTTAAGATCATCTAGTTCCAACCTCCCTGCCACAGGCCATGGGTAAGGTTTAGCACCTTCTGCTAAACAAGGTTGCTCAAAGCCCCATCCTACCTGACCTTGGATTCTACAGCTTCAGCTGTTCAAGCTTTTCAGAAGGAATAAAAAACAAAACAAAAAAACAGAAACACCATAAACAATTTCAGTGTGCACCTCTGCACATATTATCCAGTTATGGTTCATTTAAGTCTCACAAGTGTTTTTCCATATAATTAGTACCTTGGTTTTTACTATGCAGCATAGTAATAAAGTAATATTAGTTGATACTGTTACAAAGTTTGTTATGTTATGGCTTTCCTATCTTTATACCTTCTGCCTACAAATTTACAATTTAAAAGAAGAAAAAAAAAACACCACAATATGGACTACCTTTCTTAAAGTGAAAAAAAAAATATTTCACAAATTACTGATTCTCTATAGAATAAGCACTGAAAAAGCATCCAGCAAGGCCATCCTGTAGACATCACATTCATTCGGTAATGGTTATGCAGGCAGCAACACAATACTTCTGAGATAAACCTCTAGCAACGAAGTGTTCTGGCCCCATAACTAATGAAAATAACTTAATGAAAAGGGAACTGCATTTTGGACAACTCTTTAAACAGACTCCACATATTGATAATAAATTGCTCTTTCATCTAAGTCTTCCCACCATTCAGCACAGATCAGTGTGGGAACTCACAGGGGCAGGCAGCAAAGTCAAAAAAAAGTGAAAAAAATAATTTTGCAGGCACAAGGTAGGATGACAGAGCAAGTCACAATAAATGTATGGACCTTGTTTACCTTATTTTCCTCTATTAGACAAAAATTTCTCTCAAACTAAACATGCAAAAAGGATTATAAAAAAACAAACAAACAAACAAAATTTAAGACCTATACCCACTTACATCATTGTCCATGTATTTGAAGAGTGGCAAGTTACAGACTTCTGAAACTTGGTCCTGATCTTGCTGGTCATACCCTTCTAGAAGCTGCTCTAGTGCTGCACAGTCTTCGCTTCCATTAAATCCTGGTATACTGAAGAAAATTAAGAGTTCATATTTAGGACATTCCAGCAATCTATTTGGTGCTCACCTATTCTATCTTTAAATACCACTGATAAATACGCAGACGAGCTGGGAACTGATTAAGAATCTAATGCACTACTTACTCCATCGAACTGTCTAATGCTGACTTCTCTATGTACATGGATCATATCCATAAACTTCAACTTTCAGCAGTATTAGTTTGCTGAGAATTAGACTGCAATCACAGCCAAGTCAAAAAGAGATTAATTTTTTTTCATTTTTTACGACTAGTCAATTAAGTATCTTCCATTTTATGTACAGAAAAAAATTGTAGCAAATTTCTTCATAACATCCAAATGAAGACAGAAAATATGGCCAAGATGTTTAAAGATGGATTTTAACAGCTTATTTCTAAAAATACAATAACTATACAACTTACATATATGTTCACATCATTTCACTTGAAACATATAGTTAAGTAAAACCACGTTGTTTCAGTATTTTGTTACTGAAGTCCAAATGAAGGCTGAAATGAGGAGCTGTAGGAAAGCCTCTGAGGTTTATGGTAAAACACTAATCCAAATTTTGACATCACAATTTTCTCCTGGGTATATAAATAATACTTGCTTCATTTCATTGTATTCTGGAACTGGACTAGTTCCTACTTTCTAATTTATCTTTCAGTTCAATTAACTATTAAAAAAAATGTGAAAAGGAGAAATCTTGCTTTTCTTCTTTTAAGGCATGACAAGGGCAAGATAGTCTGCAGCAACAGAACCAGAAATGTAGTAATGCACATGCTACAAGTCTTTCTTCAACAAAAACCTTTAGATGAATCTTTCCCTCAGTCTAATCACCATACTAGACAGGTTTATTGATTGTACATGGATGCTGCTACTGAGCATTTTGACGCTTTGTTAAACATTTTCATCCTCAAAATAACAAAATGTGGTAATGAAAAGTTACGATTTCAACTTTTTAAGGGCCTCAACACATGACATGGCAAAAAGATTCTGAAAAAAAAAAAAATCTGTTAGGGACATTCAGAAATCCACACTTTTAATCCTGAATATGAATTTACAAATAGGTAATCCATCCTTGTTCTGTTTGAAAAAGAGACATGCCAAAGGCTATCAGTAAGGCAAGAAGTCTGGCCGTAACAGTATTCTGCTCAGCTTTTAACAAGGAAAAACTGAAAATAAACTTCAAATTTTAATCTCATTTCACCTGTTGTACATAAGTATTGTATATTCACTAATACAAATACCACAATGGCAATTACTGCTGAACCTGTTAAGAGCAAAAAAATATTCCTGATAGGTGGCTATCTAATACAGAATGCACTGTAAGCCAGTAGACTTAAAGGTTTAAAACTTATTGACAGAGCGTGTTTCCCTTGCTCTTTCATAAGAAAGAATCACCATTAATGAAATATTCAGCTTAAAATTATAAAATATGAAGCAGACTTACCTATAGCTTTCCCTCACACATCTTTCTGCAGCAACATAATCATTTCTGTGAAGATGAACTAGGACTTGAGCAATAGTTTTCTAAACAACAAAAACAGAGAAACAAATTTTTCTTTAGAAAAAAAAAAAGTAAAATATGAAAAAGATAATGGACTGCTAATATTTAGTGTGAAAAGATCACTATGAGTCTTCAATGATTCTAATATACTGGAACAAAAACATCATGAAAGAGTAGTAAGCCATCAGCTGGTATGAAATAGGTTATCTCCTCTAATGTTATAATGAACTCTTGCACAAAACGAGAATGTTTTTCTTTTTGTGGTTCGTCATACAGGTCATGCCGAATGCAAACCCAAAACAAACTATCACAAATTCTTATTTAGAACCAAAATCAAATATTTCTACTAAGAATGCTGAAGAAATAAAATCAAGCTAAACACAGACCAGAAGACAATCCTATTAAAAATACAGTAAGAATATGTTCATGATTCTCCTTCTCTCTCTTCCTGTTTCAAAATAAATTAATTCAGCTTTCAAAACAGAAAATTGGTCTTGTTCAAATCAATTTGAAGGCCCATCCATAAATCACTATAGCTCCCACAGGTAATAGAATCCTATCTTCAAAACATTACAGTGGTGAAAAATACAGAGGTGATGGAAGAATGAACAACAACACATTCTTATTTTTAACAAGAAAGATATCCCTGAATCAAGAGGTATATGTTGTCAGACAGAATTCAGCCATTAGCTTATGTCAGTTGCCCAGAAAAAAATGCACCATCAGAAATTGTAATTTAGATTTTTACCTTATAGCATGTTGGATAATTTTCAATTTCCTTATAAATACTTTTTTCCTTTTGAAGAGACAATGCAGCCTCATCTAATCTAAAAACAAACAAAACAAACACTACTCAGTTATGAGTATCAGTACCAGGAAACAAGCATAATAAACCTGAGGCTCATTTTGAGCTGTTTAACTAATACACCCACAAAGCTTTCCTCAATAAAAAGCAAAAGAACTAAAATCAGCACCAGGTCTTATTAAGAGTATCTATCTATCTATCTATATATATGTATATGTATATAAATGTATATATAAATATTTGTATTAAAATGTATATAAATATATATAAATACATATAGTCAACAATACTTTTCGCATGCATGCAAGCCAAGAACACCTCTGGTATTCAGACAAAACCTCACTTTTCGCAAGATTATACAAGACGAATGCCGCATGATTTCCTCTATCAGATTTCTATGTCATAATGTTACTATAAGCGATCAGTATATCTGATGCCAACAAGCGATGAAAAAACATAGTAGCTGGTTTCCAGTCTGAATACTCCTTTTAACTACTATATTAAATTTCTACAAATGAATGATAGCACATTAACTATAAAGTAGCAGAGCAACCATGTTTCAGATGTTCTGCAGCTACGTTAACTTGCTCTTTCACAGAAAGATTTTGACACTAATCTATAAATTTATTTTTCTGACCACAATTACACAACAAAATAAAGCTTCTTAAAAGTAGCCAGAAACACAGATGCAGACAAAGAAACTGCACGTTTCAGTGAAGCAAGTCTAAGCTGAACTGCAGCTCAAGTTTGGTGCCAGTAATAAGCACTTAAAATAAATTGCCATTGAGAAACGAAGACACACACTTCTCAGAAGTCCAGAATCAGAACACTGCCAACAGATTTCTCTCCTCAGTTTCATAACTTAATTTCCCTGTTTTATATTAGACAGAGGTAAAATATTTCCAAACACTTGCTACAAATTAGTGCTGGAAGAAAAAATTTCCAAAAGTAGTTTTACAATTAGTGAAAACTGATGTAGGTCCTTTATAGCTACTCAATAAACAAAAAGGAAACACAGCCTTGTAAGTCACATTCTCCTCTACCAGAACATGTGGATCCTGGATGAACATGGTAGTCTTAGATTCCACAGAAACTGCATTTAAGTTTGAACAGCAACAAACAAAAAAAAAAAAAACACTGTTAAAGATTCAACTGCATTTAAGGAGAAATAGTTTTAAATCTATACCTGCGACCTCGGACTAGAAGTCTTGAAGCCTTCCCCAACATTTCTAATGCTTGCCGTAAACGTTCTTCATTCTAGAAAAGACCAAAAAGAAATTACACATTCATATTCCATTGCATAGGATTAAGACTAAAAGACCTTAAACTAAATATGTTGTCTGTATCCAAAAAACAACCAATCTGCTATACCAGCAGTTCCCAAACTCAAGTGAAACACGAGGAGTATTGGTGTGACCAAGTCCTACAGCCAGCTCCTGTATGTATCTAGAGAGCAAAGCAATGTCAATGCAGCCTTGCTAATCTAGAGTCATATAACAACCACCTATAGAGAAATATGCCAAAGACAATAATGAAAAGGCTTATGGGATTGGTGGAGCTTTAAGCAAACTCTTCATTCTGTGCCTTCAAGAATTTCAAACTGCTTTAGATTCCAGGACTAAACGGAAGCCTTATTCCCTGCGCTCTGGACCAACAAGAGGCAGAAAACAACAACACACAGCAGTCAGATTTCATCAAGTCCCAGACTGAGAAAAGAAATGACCCCTCACTTTTATAATCTCTTTCTGTACAGCACTAAAACCCTTCAGCTTCATTACTCAGCCACTGATGTGAAAGGAGGGAAAAATAATCTAGAGACCACCCTTAGGCATTTTCTTAGTTTCACAGCTGATCCTAAGCAGCAATTCATCCAAGTCAGTTTACTTTCTGGGACTGGAAAGTTCTTTGCTGGTGAAAATAAAATAAAAAAGAAGAAAAAAGTAAAGCTTACTTCAAACACTGATGCTGCTTGCTGATAGAGCTGTACAGCCTTCTCTGGGCTCACATTTTCTATTAACCTGTGACAAACAGAAGTAATTTCTCTTCAGATGAAAGCATCAAAAAGGGAAGCAACCAATGAGATACTTGTGCCCCACAGGTATTCTATCTAGCAATACCACAAGCTTACTTTCCAGCCCGTTCCAGTGCAATTGCTGCTGTATCTGGTGTCCCATTCTCCAGGTACATCATACTGGCTTTTTCAATTAGCTGGACAGCTTCAGGGAGTCTCTGCATCTCCTGCAAAGAAAACAGAGGGAGACTGCCGTCAGGAGCTGTGCTTATGAAGCAAATGAAACAAAGCAAAACAATCTGTAACACAATTATATATTTAGAGGTTTCAGCTTATAAAAAAAAGTAACAGAATATGCAGCAGTACAGAAACGCACCTTCTGCACTGCCACTTATGTGTGAAGAACAAGTTTAGTAGAGTTCAACAAATTCACTGAATAACCATAGAGAGGTGGACACATAGCAGGGAGGTCTCACAGCCATCTAGAGTCAGACCAAAAACTTCACTCCCTCTGCAGGTTTCAGTCCAACTTAAAACTGAGTTTTCTCACTACGAATCTTTGAATTCAATCTTTCCATTTTTAAAATCTGACTCAACAAGCAGCTAGGGAGCATCTAAGCAGCAGTTCACACAAACGCTGACCTTCCTGTCAGATTGGATTTGAGCATCAGACTAAAATTCTAATTTGCATTTACAGTCTTGAATAGATTTTAAGATTGAATACAAACCCCAAATTCGCTTCTAGGTACCAAAATTAATAAGCACCGATTTAGTGATGCCCAAATGATACCACCTAGTCATCTATAAAACTATTGACTCACTACTACACACTCATACAAAAGGTCACAAGCAGGATTCTCATAAACAATCAGATTACAGCAGTGAATACTAATTATTAGAAGACTTACAATAACCTGCCGTGTTAAGTTTGGAGATCTCACCCAAAACTCACTGAAAGACCATATGCATGCAGTATGGCTGAGGTAATGGATAACAACTAATATATTTAATTTTTAATATAATTTTATAATTTAATATTTATATTTAAACTAATATATTTAGATATATATTTTGAAAACATGCATTTAAGAATTACATGACATATATATTACCCTATGTCAAATAAGTAGAAATACTTTTCTTTCACAAATGATGTATTTCAAGCAAAAATGCTATTCCACTGCCCTGTTATACAAGTACTAATGGAGCAAACAGGCAAAACAAGACTGCGTCCTCATTCTACAGCTTCCAAATTCTACCAGACACTTATACACTTATATTTCACTTTCAAAAATAAAGAGAACCACATCGTCTTGTTCCCATGAGTTAACCTGATTCTACCACCCCTCTTTTCAGGATTGTTCTTTTATCGATGTCATCGGTAAAATCAGTATTTGCTCAACTGTAAAGAAGTAACAGCGCTAGAATATGAGCTTTTATTTCTCTTACTTCAATATACTGCTCATCCAAGTGGCAATTAGGTGCTTCCCCATTTAAGGCAAGAATTTCTGGTAGTTTAGAGCAGAAGCATCAGTCTTCAGTCTCTCTTTGACATGAGGCCCTCACCGTTCTTTCTACAAAAGGAACCCAAAAAACTGCTTCCAATTAAAAATGCATGTTCCCTAACTACTTGAGGGTATTGGTGGGGACTGTAAGTCACCAGAAGAACAGCAATGTAACATGCAATTTGCTTGCATCTATCTTTAAAATGGTTGAGTGAGATAAAACTATCTACTCACTATAAAAGAGTACTTTTTAATAAGAACTAGTAAATGAAAATACCTTTAGCATCATGCCAGCTTGTTCATAAGCTCTGCAGAGAAAAATTTACAATTTAGTTAGATATGGTGTATTTCAGCAAGCTGTAAGTATGCAGCAAATGCTAACCTGCATGAGCTACCACTTCACTGTTAATATTTAATAATTTGACGATGTTTCAAGTGCTTTAAGTTATGTAATGAGACAATATATGTGTAAGATTATCTTCCACAAATAAAGTATTTCAACCACACCTTCCGATCTCCCCAGTAAAAATCTATTCTCATGATCTGACCCACAGGTAATATTTCAATTGTCATTACCTGCTTGCTTCGAAGCATTCTTTAATTAAATTTCATTGTAAGCTCAACAGTGCAGAATTTCTAGCTTATAAAAAATTTAATGTAAGGAAGAGTACTTGATATCAAAAGCTATTGTGGATTGGGAAATCCTTATTTCTTCAGATAGCCACTGCAGGTTTTCAGGCCTTCCTAGCCTGTGCTTTCATTAAACTGATTTTGAAATGGTGAAATCGCTTGAACCATGCCATTTACTATAATGAGACCAAAATGATAGCTCATGCTTGTACCATAAATCAGAAAACTTGTTTCAGATTAGCTGGTGCACCTGTACTTACTTGGCAGCATGGAAAAGCCTGGAAGTAACATTGCCAAAGTCAAGGACAAAATCCATAAAATTATAATGAAGAAAGATTGTCTACAAAATCTTATACAACTTGTTTCAAACAAAGATCTCCCATAAATGCAAATAAAACCCGTTAGGTTTGTAGGCAAGGTATCAAAAATAAATGCATCTAAGGACAAAATAAATGCAACATACTACAGTATAATCACACATGTAAAGTTGTAAAAAGTATTTAAAAACACGTTCCTGGTTACTAAATACTGTCATAAGCATTGTAATAATGTCAGTTCAATTTAATTCATATCATCTGTTTGTAGGAAATTAAAAATATTTATATATTAATTTCCGAAGTAGTACCTAGGCATCTCAGGCACTGGTCAGCACCTTATCATGCCAAATACTATTTAAAACAACATAGATTCGCTAAACAAAAGAGTTTTTAGCATGCGGGAATATTCTTCCAGAAGAGAACCTTCTTAGATTGATGAAATGAACAAATATATTAAAAACATTTTCTACAAACACCCATTACCCCATTCTAAGTAGCAAACAGTCAGCTTCTCGAAAAAAAGAAAAACAATGAAAAGATACGCTTTATTGTTTTCATGTGCTTCAGCTTCTCGCAAACAGGCTTCCCTTGCCTGGTCATACTGCTTGGCATTCTTAAAAGCAACGGCTGCAAGAAATTAAATAAAGTTCTTATTTACAATTTGCCTGTTGTTTTTTTCTCATCACTTCTGCTCAAGTATTTAATCACCTAAAGATATAAACAGACTCTTTAGATAAATTGAAGGGCTTGTTAAATTGAGGAAAAAAAAATCCCACAACAGTCCTCCTTGCTTCATTAGTCACTTAGTTATCATTGAAAACATTTATTATCAACAACACTTGCATAACATCACTGTTATACATAATCTAGTCAGATGGATTTACAAACTCGCTCACTCTGCATTTTAATTATAAAACTACAGAAATGCACATGTATATATAGGTTTAATCAGTAGAGATTATACAAAGTCAGCAGGGTAGTGATAGAAGTGTATCATCAACAAAACAAACCAATAACAACTTCCTCAACAAAACCACTTCAGGGCACAAATATGTATTTGTATCTCCATTAGATAGATAGGATATTGAGGCAGGACTTCAAGTAAATTTCAATTTGTAAGAGCTTTAATTGCTCCTCCATTATTTTTTTTTTAATTTAGGCTTAAATGAGTAAGTAGAAATGCCTACTCTCAGAAAGAAAGAAAAAAAATTCGTTTAAAAAAATCATCTAGTAAGAATTTTATGTTTGGTTTGACATTTGCTGCAGGAAAGAAGGAGGAAAGAGATCTTACTGTAACTAAAAAAACCTGTCAATGTCACTACCTTACTGAGACAGTCTTAGTCAAGACATACTTCAACAGATGATGAAAAAGCGAAGACTTAAGAACAGCTAGAATATTTGCTGGGAAGGTCATACGATTTGGGGGCGGACAAGTGGAAGGAGGAAAGCTTTATTTTTGTGACACATAATAATACCCAAGGTAGACGCTGTAAGCTTGAGAAGAAAAAAAATGTTTTGCAACTGGTCTAGACCTCCAAGTACAATTCGAAATTTATTTTACAGTGCTACTAGGAATCTTCCTTCTTCTTACTTTAGTCTTTACGACAGTTTTACTTATAGAGTAACATACTGAAAATATGTAAACTATTATCAGAGTTTAAGCTTAAAGAGTATTTTAAAACCATAAAGTATGTGTCCATATTTACGGTCACACATACCTGCCTTCCCATATTCGGTAGCTGCACTGTCATAATCTGGTTTCCACTTTAAGAATCCAGTTTTCAGACTAAAATACAAGAAGAAAGGCTTATTAACAATTACTTATATTTTACCTTTCCAGCATTTAATACATATTTAGAACTTTAGACGACCTCTGAAAAGGAGTGACTACCCTTGTGCCAATACAGTGGCATCCCAACTGCAAAAATAAACGCCAACACTGTTTGGCATTGCTCAAAGCACTGCAATTATCTCCTGAGTTACATGCCCTGTCCTAATGTGCTTCTAAATTGATCCCCAAAGAGTCACCTCAAGCCCAGCTCCTCAGCAGTAGGAAGTTAACAAACTAAAAATACTTCTAATTGAGAGCTGTCAGCCTCTCCATTCCATACACAAGTGAAATAATTTACCTCCCAACACAAACACAAAGCCTCACGGATTTGTCATTAATCCATCCACAACAGCTCATGACACTTAATTGGTGCTGCGCACATATACATGTGAGGAAAAACTACACATTGTAAAGTGAGGCAAGTCATCAGGCAATGCTGATCCCACTACTATGATTTCCATATTAGAATATATTTATATATATAAATATTAAAATATATATATATAAAACTTTGAAGTTCATTTTCGTATCTATTGCAGACTGACACTTCAGATGCAATAGATGTTCAACATGGAAAAAACATTGTATACGCACCATATATTGGTTTTGTAATCCTACTTGGATGAAAACCACAGCACACAAATCCAAAGCAAGCTTTCACTTTGTATTATTCTTATCACACAAAAAAAATCTCGAACTCATTTAGCTAACATATGTGAGCCTTTAACCTGTACATAGTTCATGAATTTAGTGTGCTTTACGTCAGATGCTTTCCAAGATATGCTTAAAACGAATTCCACTGAAAGGCATTTTTCATCAGGTAATTTGAAAAGAATATTTGGTACATATTTATTATTGCAAGGCAGTCTCTCTGCTATCACTACTTTTGATCCTTGATTTTGGAAGTGCCTGTCGTTGTTGTAACTGATGTTGTGATATCTTTGGAACAGTCAGCTCTACTGCATCTACACAGCAGCCTATCATATTCCGTGTCAAAACGCAATTAAAAGCCTGCCACACGCAGGCGTGAAGCCCTTTAAGCTACGTGTCAGCTGGGCGAAGCTGCTTTGCCCTCCACCACCAGCCCCTGCCCCGGCCGCCATGTCAACCCCCCCCCCCCCCAGATCACGTCGCCCCGCGAGACCACCCCCCCCAGCCGCTCCGCCAGAGGCATGATGGGAGACGTAGTCCTCCCCTGCGGCTCCGCTCCGCGCACGGCGGCCGCCAGAACTACAACTCCCAAGCCGCCCCCCCCCGCGGCCCGGTGGTGAGGAAGGGGAGCCGAGCCGCCCGCCCGGCCGGCAGCAGCCCCGAGGCAACAGCCGGGTAGACCTGGCAGCCAGGCCGAGCCGCCAGGCGCCCGGCCACCCCGCCGCCCCTCTGCCGCCCGCTCACTATTTCTCCGCCTTGGCGATGTGCTCCAGGGCCTCGTTGATCTTCTGCGCCGCCATCTCGCGGCCGGCCGGCCTCGCTGCCTGCCCCCGCGCTGCCGCTCACGGCGCCGCCACGGGACGCGAGGGGAGGGGAGCGGGGAGGCAGGGCAGGGCCCGCCTCCGCCGCCACACCGCGCATGCGCCGCCGCCGGGGCGGGGCCGTTATGGCGCCTGAGGGCGGCGCTGTGAGGCGCGGGGCAGGGGGTGTCAGGGAGCTGGGGGGCGCGTTGCCTGCTCGAGGTCCCAGCCCCAACCTGGCCAAAAGCCGTTGGAAGCTTTTCAGAAAATAAAAATGAGGGCAGAGTTTCCCTCAAAAATGAGCGTGTGTTTCCCTCAGTGTTCAAATTGTGATGGTTTCTGGTAGAAATGCACAACTCGCAGGCAAAAGGCTGGAAAGGATCATGCTCCCTGCTGTGTAACAAGCCTCCAGAGGCCTTTTCATACTCGCTCCCTCGGTGTTTGTAGGAGGCTGCCCCCTGGGCCAGGTGGTGCAGAAATGTAAAGCAGAAGAAATGAGTGGTGGTTGGGCACGACAACCCTTCCAACACAAGCTCTTACAACAAATTACCTACCTACACGCTCAGTAACTGAAAATGCTGGAGTCTGCATTACCACTCATACTTCCAATTTCTTCCACTCTCTATTCCCTGATCTGAAACGTTAAGTAACAGGAGATCAGTGGATGGATCCAAAAAGGTGTTTATTCTCCAGACTTAGACGTCGGTATTGCCTCTCAGTAATCTAAAAAGATAAATAGTTATCAACATGAGAGCAGAAAGCAAAGTAAAAAACTGCTTAAACTTGCAAAACTTTATCAGACTGCAGGAGTCATTCAAAGTCCATGTTGCTGATAGAAATCAGAGTTTCGTGATTTCTTCTACCTTAGAAGGGAAAAAAAAAAAAAAAAAAAAAAAAAAGCAGTATTGACATGGTTTGTTTTATGCTACATAGGCATCAGACTCGTGGTTCTAAATTGCTTTTCCCTCCTTTGCCATCTCCCACACTCCCCTGATGACATGGAAATTTAATTTTCTAACTTTGGTTACACTTGAGAGGCTATCTATAGCAGATGGTGGAAAATCCCCACTAAGTCTTTCATACTATTATTCTGTATCCTAGAACAAAGTAGGAATAAAATATATAAATAAGAGTTTTGTTATGTTTTTAACTTTCTAAAGCAGAACAGAGTGTTCATGAGAGTACTGGGAGGAAACAGGCAGTCCTGCACAATGCATATGCAAGGAGATGGCAAGTGCTCACTGGTAGCATGTGAAATATACTGGGTGATCGGTCAGAATCCTGTGTCATCGTGTCTGTCTTGCTTTTCCCAGCCAGGATAAATCTGGCACTATAACCTTGCTGCAGTGTCTTTATAATACAGCTGTGAAAATGCAATTAGAGGCCTGATGCATTAACAGGCAGAATAATCTTGCAGAGCATTTCTGAAGATCCCAGTGCGTGACCTGGTTTTCTGTTTGTTTGCGGTAGTGTTTCTGGCCTGCTGTTTTCCCTTTAATATAAAGAGCCGTTCACTTCCTTGTGAGACTACACATGTGCACTGTCTGGTTACACTTTATACTGGAATGACCAGACGACAAGTTTCCAAGAGTAGTATTAAATGAAATAGGATATTCCTGGGTAGCTTTTATTTTCTAGACACGGAACCTCCAGAGATTCTGCATCTGGGAAGGATCATATCACAGCATCTGTTGCCTGCCTGTGAACTGGACTTTGGTATTTAAAAATACCCAGGTACAATGTGACAATTTTTTACAGTGATAGCATTCAGAATGACAAGCTTTTGTAAATATAATTTTCTATGTTTTATTTACATTCCAGGTGTGAACTCTGCAAATAGCTGTACCAGTAGAAGCCATTGATCAGTAGCCAATCCTCAGATTTTGTCACTGCACCTTGCAGAGGGTTTGTCTCTCTCATCTAAACACTTCCTCAGGTACACCATACCAAACAAAGGCATGCTATCAAAAACAAGCTGTATATTAACACAGGTTTTTTGTTTGTTTGTTTTTCTGAAATGGATTAAAAAACACCTGTGTGAATATTCATGGGGTCTAACCTCTGGCAAGAGGCTGGAGGCAGGCAGCTGGGGACAGCATCTACCACCACAATGGCTGCGTGCATCCACAGCCCCAGCTTGAGGAAAGTCTGGGCTGCTCTCAGAGAGCTGTTGTTACTTGTAAGAGACTATCAAGTTGACCACAATTAAATGTTTCCCAATTAACTCTAACTTTTCTTTGCTGTTAATACATCACATGCTTGTTCAGAAAGTCAGCACTGAGTGCAGTGAGCTGTATTTTAAATCAGCTGCTCAATCCTATCTTTGCTCCACTGGATCTGGAAGGTGCATTTCAGTTTTCCTAGATCTGGATTTCCCAGCACTGTCTGACACCCTCATTTGGCAGCAGGACATGGAAAGTTGTACATTGTGATTTATTAGTGTCTGAATTGAAGTCATAACTACAGTAACAACAGCTATGGTACCAAGCTGAGGAAATTGCCTGTGATGAAGGAGAGGGATCTGCATATTCCTCCTCACAAGGCAGACTGCGACTAACACTAGTGGTCTAATGAACAATTGCCTCTGACACATTTTGGGCCTGTTACATACAAAATAATGTGTTCTGCGATCACTCCATCTACGTGCCAGCACCTCAGTGCTCCAGTACCTTTTCTTTTCCTGTCCTCAGAGTTATTTCTATAGAATACGTTGGTCTGTGAAACATTACTAGTTCCCATCTTAATGGATATGGCAGAAAGCAAATAAGTAGCTTTTAGGGCAGCAAAATACTGATTGTCTGTAGATTTGTTTCTCCCTGCTGATTGTCATTAATTAAATAACAGAAGACTATAGTGTGAGTACACCTTTTATCAGATAGCAGAGAACCAACACAGTAGAGATTATAAATTTCCCAGCTGGAGGAAGGAGGTAACGTCAAATGGGCTTTCCAGTTTTTTAAACATGAGAGTAGAAAAGGGCATTCTGGTGTCTTGTAAGGCATCCCGGTGTGAAGCATTCATGTCTTCCTATTACCTAGCAAGTGTAGAGGTTACTCTACAGTTGTCCTTCAGTGGCACCGTGACTGAGTTCTATCCACTGTGTTTATCTTTGTATTATCTGCAAAGAGTTTCTATTTTTTTGGTTTTTGTTTCTAGTGCTGTCAAGTTTAGTAGCATTTGGTGAATGGCCTCAGAAGTTAAAGGGGGTATTAACTGATATATGGAATGCAATTGTATCTATTGTATAATTTTCTTGGGAAACAAGGTTTTTACTTCCACATACAATGATGCAAATCCATGGAAAACACATTCCTGACTGCACCTGCTGTGCTACACCCCAGTTGTTGCTGGTGATACACTAAATTCCATTTTTGTGTTGTGCTGCCTTTTCACATGTGCTGGTAGTTTCCTGTATAGCCATGCTATAATCTGTATGGGAGAACTGATCTGGCTTTAGGAAAAAAAAGATGGAGATAAGGAACCCTGCTGCAAAATAATAGGATTATACTCAAGCCCTTGTCAATCTAAGTCACTTTGGTTAGCATTTTTAAAGGGTATGGAGACCCTTTTATCTACTTTTACAGCATAGTTTGGTGTATATTTCTTTTGGTGTCAGTACTAGCTTCATTACCAGGGTACCAGTACCAGGTCATCATTATTCAAGAGTATTCATAGCCACCACTGCTACCCTGCATTTTTCCAGCCCAAATATTTGTGTAGTCTCTCCCTGAACAAATTCAAACTTTGTTGTCAAGGTCATTTCTTAGCTGGCTCTGTTCCCTCATCTGATTTACCAAGTGGTCACATTTGCACAAAGAGGGAGTCAGGAATATAAAGTCAGGGCAAGAATTGTTTAAGCCAATTTAAGTACTACATGCTAAACGTGTGCTTTAGCTTGTTTTTCTAGTGATGAAGTAACTTCTTCAGCGGAGAGTATGTACATTGCTAAAGACACGACAACTTTTCTGCTCCAGCATTCCCACTCCAGAACCTCTGGAAACCTCTCCCCTTTCTCTCCTCTCCCCTTCTTTCTGAAGTGTTCTCCACACATCAGACTCTCCTGGTGGAAAGCCTCTCACTCTTCTTTCCTCTCTTTGGATCCATCCAGTGTTGATGGCTCTTTCATTGCTTAGCAGCAATTTCTCCACAAGATGCAAAGTCCTCACTCAGTGCCTTGCTGAAAGTAACATCGAAAATAAAGTTTGAAATGTATCATTATTCCCCAAATCCAGTGGCATTCATAACTAGACATGAACATGTATCCTTCAGTCTGTCACTGAAACAATGTTTGAAATAGATCCTGGAACAGGGGCTGGAAAACAACAGTTTTCATTAGTTTTGAAAGCATGATTAGATTTTTTGACTTTTCTACAGGATATATGCCAAAGTGCATGCCAATTGGTTCTTCCAGATGCCAGCTTCTACTCTGTATCCATAAAGAAGAAAGTGAGGAAACAAAACCTGGGAGTTTCCTCTCCGATGGCCCGATCACCAACATCCAATAAAATCAATAAGTCTGTCCAGGCTTTTAATCACTTCTGTTCACTGCATAGCTTTGCATTCCTTGAGCAAGATTTGCAGAGGAGTGATAAGAGATTCCTTGCTTTTAGCTTAATTTTTGTCAACATCATTTTCATTATGTACTGGTTTTGGCTGTGATATGGCTAATTATCTTCACCATAACTGGTATAGTGCTGTTTTATATTTGTGACCCAAACAGTATTGGTAGCACACCAGTGTTTCAGTGGTTGCTGAGCAGTGCTTGAGTCAAGGACTCTTGTTTCTCACGCTGCCCCACCACCGAACAGGCTGGGGGGGGGACACAGCCAGGACAGCTGGCCCAGGCTGGCCAAAGGGATCTCCCACACCATGTGGCATCATGCTCAGCAACAAAAACTGGGGGAAAGAAGAAAGAGAGGGTCCTTCAGGGTGGTGGCATTTGTTTTCCCAAGACGATGTAATGCATACGTTCTGCTTTCCTGGAAGTGGCTAAATATCTGCGTGCTGATGGGAAGCAGTGAATGAATTCCTGTTTTGCTTTGCTTGTGTGCACAGCTTTTGCTCTACCTGTTATACTGCCTCGACCCGTGAGTCTTCTCACTTTTACCTTCTGATTCTCTTCCCCATCCCACTGGGAGAGGGGAGCAAACTGGTGTGTGGGCTTACCTGCCTGCTGGTGTTAGCCCACAACAGCCTGCTTCAGAAGAACATGCTGTAGCTGCATCCTAACTGATTGCTTTTGAATCAGTAATGCAATCTGGGATAGAAACTGCTGTACAGTGTTTTCCTCTTTTGAACAATGAGTGAGATATATTAGTATTGTGATGCCAACAGAGGCACTACTAATGATCTCCTTAATTAAGTTAATTTTCATGGCATGCATCACCAGTTGCTAGGTTTTGTTCCACATGATAGCATGGCGCAATTATCTGCCACATTCCTCAAACATACAGTATTATATTCCTCAGCACAAAATGCTTTCTGAGATTAATCACTTCGGTCATATATCTGAACATCCTACCTCATGACACCATTGGTTAGATAACAGTATCAGAGCCTATTATTTTCCGAGCCAATTTTCCCACTCTGAATTGTTACATACATACGCTGTTATCATGCTGCTGCAGTATGCGTCTGCAACGTGCTAAACTATGCTCTTTTACAAGAGACTTTTTTAAATGGTCTGATTATCAAAAATTATGTGGCTGGCACCACATGTGTATGCTGTTAAAGGCTTCCTAGGGTATTGAAGTCAGCTCGTGAACAGCCTGTCTGACTGAGAAGTGTAGCTCTATTGTTGTCAGTGTAAACACCAGAAGCAAAAAATAAACTTTTCAGTTCATTTAGCTCTGTTAACGCTGGTGATTCTTATTCTCAGATATAGCATTGAGATAATTTTTAAAAATATTGAGCAACTTGATAACAGGATTCCTTTTGCTTGAGTGGTCTACAGAGTCCCTAATCTCCTACAAAGACTATGTCTGTAGGTTAGGTGTTAGACCCTAGACAAAGGTAATAAAAGCTTCTTCAGAATTGTCTGTGGACCAGAGAAAATCTCCCTCAAGCCACTGAAGTGTCTGAAATTTCCATCCCTTATAAAAAAAAAATCAAACCTCTCCAGCCCCTCTGTGTGAATGAATACTACTAAAAGCTCTAAGAAGATTTCAATAGGCTTCTTCATCTAGATTCACTCTTTGACATGCACTGATCGCCAGTCACTAGAAACCTTTGAAAAACTTGTTGAAAAAGGTTGTAAAGAGTGTTCATAATAGGCATTACCACTAGCCTCAGCCCTAGCCTGTTTTCCTGTATTTAAGGATTTTCATTAATTTCATTCCAGAAGGAGAAAACAAAATCTATTAAAGTGTAGGCAGACATTAGGCATGTCATGCTATTCTTCTACCAGAGTTTGTATTTCTCTTCCAGTAAACCTCTCAAAAAGGATGACCAGGGATTATTCTGAGGCTGCACTGAGACTATCTGCGATCTTGCTCTGGATCTTGCTCAAGGATCTGTGATCCTTGCTCTGACAGAGACTTTCCAAACAGCCTCTGTGAAATTACTTGCTGTCTGGTATTTCAGTACCACACCTGTATAACAGAAGCCATCAGATTTAATTTTCTTCTTCAGAGTGTGTAGTGGTTTACATAGAAAGGTTTTGGTAGCAGTGGGCTGCAGAGGTGGCCTCTGTGAGGTGAATCCAACATTTGCCCCATGTTAGATAAGGGCCAGTTTCAGCCAGCTCCAAACAGACCCACTGCTACGTAGAGCTGAGACAATAAGCAATGTTGTTTGTGCCTCTGTGAGAGCATATTTAAGAAAGGGAAAAAAAATCTGCACAACAACAGCTGGGAGAGCGAGGAGTGAGAACCAGCCTTGCAGACCCCAAGATCAGCGCAGGAGGAGCTCCAGGCACTGAACAGAAGTTCCCCTGCAGCTGGTAGGACATCGAGGTGCTTGAGCAAGTCTTACAAGGGGCAGCTGAGGGGGCTGGGATTGTTCAGCCTGGAGAAGAAAAGGCTCAGGGGCAACCTTATTGCACTCTACAGGTACCTTAAAGGAGGCTGTAGCGAGGTGGGGGTTGGTCTGTTCTCCCACATGCCTGGTGACAGGACGAGGAGAAATGGGCTAAAGTTGTGCCACGGGAGGTTTAGGTTGGATGTTAGGAAGAACTTCTTTACTGAAAGGGCTGTGAGGCATTGGAACAGGCTGCCCAGGGAAGCGGTTGAGTCTGCATCCCTGGGTGTCTTTAAAAGACGTTTAGATGTAGAGCTTAGGGATATGGTTTAGTGGAGGACTTGTTAGTGTTAGGTCAGAGGTAAACTCAGTGATCTTGGAGGTCTCTTCCAACCTAGATGATTCTGTGACTGTTGCAGTCTCCCAGCCCAGAGCCAACCACCTATTAGTCTGGCGCAATGGATTTTTGTGTTCCTTGCACTAACTGTTCCTTCACCTCCTCTTCAGATACAAGGACACGTGTCTCTTTCACGCTCCTTCGGGAGTAAACAAGCCAGGATAGATTAAAGCCTCTTTCTTCACATCAGTAAGATACCTGCTTTTGGTTTCAGTGAGAAAACAGGCCCAAGCAATTGAAGTTTCTTCTGGATAGCATTCCTTCTAATTAAGATAATTTCACTCCCCTTTCATCTGCAATGATTTCTAAGTGCCTTACACCATTCACACTTGAAACAGAAAAATGGGATTCCCATGTTATGTAAGGGGAGCGCAACCCCTCTCAAAATACGAGAGCCTGAGGTACGCTACCGAACACTAAAGATGTTAAGACTAGGAGGCAACGGACTCAAAAGACAAAGGAGGCTGACCCTCTCTGGCTGTTCATGTAACAGAAAAGATACTCAGATTTGGGCCCAGGAGCTGTGATTTTAGGGAACGGGGCCACTCCCCAACATGAAACAACTCTAGAACCCAGGAACACTTACCTGCCAGCTCCTGAACTCGCGGCACTTCCAAGCAACTTCACAAGTCGTACCACCAGGCTCTTACTGCACTGAGAAGGCACCACCAATGTAACTAGTCATGGAGTCTCTAGAGCTATTTCACAGAGAAAGTAGAAAACATAAAGAAAAAGCAGCCTGCTGGGGAACACCAACTCTATTCTACCATGTCAGTAGAAAACCACCCTAGATAACTGAGGACTTAAACTCCCCTGGAGAAGCAGGTACGGGGCCCCTTACTAGGTCCTGAACTTGAGGCTCTTCCAAGCGTCTTTCCAGTCTATTCGCACCACAAGGCTTTTACAGCACCGGTTGCTCATAATGTTTCTAAACCTATTTCACAGAGATGGAAGAAAACACAAAGAAAAAAGCAGTGTAATGGGGAACAGAGAGAGCAAGACCATGGCAGTAGAAAAAAGCATCCTACATATCTGAGGCCTTTAACCCCCCTGAGGAAATATTTTCCCCCATGCCTCCTCATGCTTCCTATATAGCAGAAGTCAAACAATGCCCACCTGGTAGATTTCAATTAACCAGGGTGGAGCCATGAGACCTTGTGGAATAGGCTCATCTACCCGGCTTCAGTGTTTTAAGGTTGATTGCTCCTTATCGCCAAGAGAAATCACCTGATAAGGGGCTTAGTGGTATCAGTAGACCTAATGAATTAACTACGAGATGTGTGTAAGGGTCATATTTCTGCTAGTCATTCTTTGAGGAAAACTACTACAGAGCCCGTTAAAATAAGATAAATAAACATAAAAAAAAATATAAAAGAAAGAAAAAAGGAAATGACCTTAAAGGCAAAATTGCTCTCATAGATTTTCATCTGTCTAGTCACGACAGATAAAGAATAAAGCAATCAGAATGACTTTTGTTGACATTAATGCTGTTTAAATTATCTTTTCTGAGATCTCTTCTTTATGTAGGACTTTTCAAAATCTAGCCCCATGACCCCTGACTCAAGTATTTACTTGGGCTGCATATGAACTTCTATCACGTAGAAGTGCCAGGATCTGGATCCTCACTCACTGTTTAGGTCAAGGACCAGGATTAAAGTTTTGGCTTTAATTTGGTTACATGACTACATTGATGTTGTTGTGGTTTCCCCCAACCAGCAGCTAAGCACCACACAGCTGTTCGCTCACCCTTCCCCCTCCCTCTCTGGGATGGGGGAGAGAAATAGCAATATGATGCCTGTGGGTCGAGACAGAGACAGTTTATTAAGAGAAGAAAAAAAATAATAACCCGCTGACCGATGCCCAGCCTATCCCCAAACAGACGGCCCCCTCATCCCGGCTAGGCACCCTTATCTATTGTTTAGCATGACGTCAGAGGATATGGAATACCCCTTTGGCCAGTTTGGGTCAGCTGTCCTGGGTCTGTCCCCTCCCAGCTCCTGATGCACCCCCAGCCTGCCCGTTGGCAGGACAGAGCGAGAAGCTGAAACATCCTTGGCTTGGTGTAAGCACTGCTCTGCAACAATTAAAACATCAGCGTGGTATCAACACTCTTATCATCCTAATCCACAACATAGCACCCTACCAGCTCCTAGGAGGAAAATTAACTCTATCCTAGCTGAAACCAGGACAGCTGCTTTCTGGCAGGTCGCGGGGAGAAGATTGGCTGGCTTGGGGGAGCTTCTGTACATGTGGCTTTTAGGCTGCAGCCAAAGTGTTCCTCTAGATCTGGAAGTTTGAACATGGTTGAGTGGTTAGAAAGCTGCCTGGCAGAGAAGGACCTGGGAGTGATGGTGGACAGTCGGCTGAATATGAGCCAGCAGTGTGCTCAGGTGGCCAAGAAGGCCAACAGCATCCTGGCTTGCATAAGAAACAGTGTGACCAGCAGGGCTAGGGTAGTGATTGTCCCCCTGTACTCGGCTCTGGTGAGGCCACACCCCTTGCCACAAGAAGGACATGGAGGTGCTCGAGTGAGTCCAGAGAAGGGCGACGAAGCTGGTGAGGGGTCTGGAGAACAAGTCTTATGGGGAGCGGATTAGGGAGCTGGGATTGTTCAGTCTGAAAAACAGAAGACTAAGGGGCAACCTTATCGCTCTCTATAGGTACCTTAAAGGAGGCTGTAGAGAGGTGGGGGTTGGTCTGTTCTCCCACGTGCCTGGTGACAGAACGAGAGGGAATGGGCTAAAGTTGTGCCACGGGAGGTTTGGGTTGGATATTAGGAAGAACTTCTTTACTGAAAGGGCTGTTAGGCATTGGAATAGGCTGCCCAGGGAAGCAGTTGAGTCTCCATCCCTGGGTGTCTTTAAAAGACATTTAGATGTAGAGCTTAATGATATGGTTTAGTGGAGGACTTGTTAGTGTTAGGTCAGAGGTAAACTCAGTGATCTTGGAGGTCTCTTCCAACCTAGATGATTCTGTGATTCTGTAATTTTTTCTTATGCTTAAATAAAGTTTTATTTTTCATGTGAGTCCCATAAAGCCCATAAATTTGTATTCAGTTCAAATAATCTTCCTTTTTTTTTCCTGTGTGACGTATTTCAATAAAGTCTTTGACTTTGTTTTCTGACTCCATTTGGTATATGAAATCTGTGGTTTATTACAGTGATGCATGTAGGGAGAGAACCTAGAGGTAGTTTTATCAGAAAAGACAATATTTAATAGTATATGAAAGTAATTTGAAAGATTGGGTTAGTCTACATTTGGGCTATCTGCAGATATGTAATTAAACTGTTTCTCATGGTCAAAAAACAGCTACAGTGAGCACACTGACTTTTCTTTGATGTTATTGCCTTTAATGTCATCTTCTCTGAAAGCACAAGTGCGAAAACCTCAAGCTGGAGGAATCAAAGCTGCCTTGTAAAAATCCTATTCCATATGTTTACTGTTAATTTTGGAAAGGAATTTAGAGAAGTGCAGATAGATCTCAATTTTTATTTTCAGGAATTGTAGAAGTGAATCAATTACCAATTCCTTTTTCTTTTAAAATGCAAAATGTAATATTTTCTTGTCTCTAAACATGCACAACAATCACTGCACATACAGATCTGCTTCCCTTGCATACATACATTAACAATAAAGACTACAGATGCACTTACAGGGAAGAAAAGGTAACTCAGGGCAGTGTTTCCACACAGTTCTGTGTGCTAGATCTTTTGTGTGATGGACGTGCTTCTTACATACCTCTTTCTTTCCCACAGCATTTCAGAGCATTGTCATGCATCACTTCTGTGCAATTTCTTTCTACCTCCTACCTTTTCTATACCTTCCTTTCTTTTTCTTTTTCCTTCCTCCCTCTTTCTTTTCCTTCCTTCCTTCCTTCCTTCCTTCCTTCCTTCCTTCCTTCCTTCCTTTCCTTCTCTCTTTCTTTTCTTCCTTCCTTCCTTCCTTCTTCCTCCTTCCTTCCTTCCTTCCTTTCTGGTTTTGATTTTTTTCCTTCACCTTCACTCTTCTTCTTTCTTCTAAGTGATACTTAGAGTAAATGTGTCCTGTAACATTACCACTAGACCAAAATAGATATAATCTATATACCAGTCTGTAAAAGTTTTAAAGGCAGCAGAAGGAAAACAGAAGAACAGATAGATGCATGGACTATACGATATTTTCCACATAGTTGGAAAAGTGGCTACAGCGGAAGCAGAAGGAAAACCAGTATTTTAAGTACCACTCCTCACTGCACTTTGTGCTCCAAGAGTAAGATTACAAGACATCGGGGGTTACCAGCTGTTCCTGTGTCATTTTGAAAATCACCGATATGATTCAAAAATCATACGTGGAAGATGTTGTAGGATTACAAAGCCATTGAGGTTGAAAGTCATCTCTGGAGATGGTCTAGTCCAACTCCCCTGAAGGGTCAGCTGTAGCAGGCTGCTAAGGACTGTGTCCAGCCAGGTTTTGAATATCTCAAAGCAGGCAGGGATGAATTGCGAAAATCACAAGCAATACTCATAATAACATCTAAACCATTTTGTTTACAACGGCTACTGAACAGTGGAGTAACTATGACAGAGCTAGTGTTTAATTCTTTCTCACTTCTCATCTTCAAAAAAAACTCAGATCTCTTTTAAAAGATATGCTTTAGGATTTTGATACAATATTCAACACAATGCTTTGTAAAGGCCAGAGGAGAGAAGCTTGACTATCCCTTCTGGCGTTTGGTCTTCTCAATGTAGGCCAATAAAATAGCTCTCAGGTTTAATGGGTGTTGTAAGGAAACCTAGCAAACACAAGAGGGCTCCATCTGAACACAAATTAAGAAGTAGTTTAGGGTGGTGCCAAAGAGAAACTATGGTCTAGCGTTACATAACCTTAAGCTAAATTGCAGTGCAATTTAGAGAAGTAGAAGATTCTTAATTGTTTGCTGTGCAATTACCATCTTGTTTTGGATATGCACTGGTTTATGTCTAAACATTTTCTCCATGCTGGAGGAGAAATATCAAAATAAATCTCTTGAAACCCAGTTCAAGTGGCCCATTATGAAACATACAAAATAAAATTCCCAATTTTGTCATTCATACCAAGCGTATCCATTCTTTATGAAACAGGTTTAGGTTCAGCTGTCAAAAAAATATCACAGTACATCACAAGCTGGCTTCTGGCAGCAAAAATGATCTCCTTCCTTGATTTTACATTAGAAATCCAAATGTTTCCATATTGCTGCCATGGAAACAAATAGAGAATAAAGGTAGAATGGAAAAAAAGCAACTGTAGCATAATGGGGTTCAGTCATTCCTCCTTAGAGAGAAGCAGGCTTTCACAAATGGGCTTTACTGCAGCATTGCAGTACCAGTGCAAGTCCCTCAGGGTAGGGACCACACTTGCCTGTGCCAGCATTCAGTCACAGCAAACTGCTTGCAGAGAGGCCACCATCTCAATTTGAAGCAATGGGGCTGTGTGTGTATCACACACTGCTGGAGCAAACATCTTTTACATCAGGCAGTGCTACAGAAAGGAGAGGGTGAGATGAAATCTTTCTGCAACAAGAAGGTTATTTATTTATTTATTTTTGCCAACATCTCTTCTAGTGAAAAGGAAGAACATTGTATGTAGAGAAGCAAGGCATTGAGCTGGATTTTTCCTGCCCAAATTTGTGCATCTAGCTAAAGATTCAGTGGCAGCAGTGTTTTTCCATTAGACAGTTCCTGAAGTAAGTTAGAGCTCAGCTACTCTTACAGGTGCATCATCCTGTTTGTTGTTCAATAGGAAGCCACTACAGAATAATGCAGGTGTTAGAAATCAGGCATAAATCCAAAGTGTTGTGAATAATGAAGGAGATCTATTGAGAGAAACTGCAAGATCAAAATGCTTTGAAGGAATCCATGAAAAGGAAATGCTCAATAACATATTGGAAACTGAAAGTAAGGTTACTCAGGTAGGATGAAGAATTGTACAAGAATCTTCGATTAATCCTTTAGGACTTAATTATTATCTCAGTTCAACAGTACATTAAGGTTGCACAAGTGTACTAAGTGTAGCAGTTGTCTGGCCCAT